AGCTTTTTATTTTCCGTTGCAAGGGCATTCCGATTATCGGATACATAACCTTTTCCTTCAACAGTCTCTTCCTACTTTGGAGCTCAATGTCTAGATGGTGCTGCGGACATTAGATGACTTCTGGTGGTTTCCGAACATCTAGAAGTCGTCCCTAGTTCTGTCACATCGCTTGGAGTGTTTTGGTCTTCTGTTGGATACCCTTTAAGCAAAATTGTTAATTCGTCCGAACAAAATAATGTTGTAGGATCAAGTTCAGTCGCTTCGTTCCCATCGCCCGTTCCTCTCTTAGAACTTGCATCAGAATATTGGTATCGATGGTGTCAACCATCGAACTAGTAACTTTTTTTTGCTCAGTTCCATTCCAGGTCTTTACAGAGGAACATGCTTACGGCATGGGAAAAGTCTCCTCAGTGACTGGGCAAGATGTTCAGATTGAGTGCCCCGACCAGGATGTTTCTCTCATGGTGGTTGACATCTCCTGCATTGACAATAGGAAAGCTGTTTCTTCCTGTAACTTGGCAGACTGTCATGATGGACACTAGTTTTGTGGGATGGGGCGGTCTCTTGATTACCTGTCTGCATTGCTGTTGGTCTTTGGAGGTATCCAAGCTTTCGAACTTTGTCTTGGACTTGAGGGTGATTCGTCTGGTGTTTTACTGGTCCCGTCTTCTGTCTGAGTGTCGGATTCAACCAGACAATACTATGGCGATGGCGCACATAAGTCACCAGGGAGGCACCAGGAGTATGTGGTTGATGACGGAATTACTTTAAATCAGAGATGCAAGGTAAGTCTATGGACGCGTGCACCCGCATGCAGACACCGTGGGATCAGAAGTGCCAACAAGCAGAGAGTCAGCGCTGGATCAGAGAGAGCCGCCGCACCGCTGGAGGGACAGATGAAAACATCAGGAAAGATCAGAATAAGAGACATAATTTAAGGTAAGTGCTGACATTAACATTGGGGGGAGGGAAACATTTGTTATCCTTTAATGTCACTTTAAGGTCCTGTTTAGAGCTGCAGCTAACGATTATTTTCAAAATCGATTAGTTAGCCGATTATTACGTTCGATTAATCGGTTAATCGGATAAACAATAAAATACATTTTTTAAAATGGCTCCAGTGATGGACTACTAGTTTGTATTGAAATTGCACTCCATCACAGGAGCAAGCTTGGAGCGGTGGAAGTAAAAAAGAAAAAAAATTGTGTGGTGTGCAATATAGTGAAATGGAAAGTGTAAAATTATACAGCAATGAATGCAGAATGGCACCGGCTATAGAGGACTACAAATCCCAGCAATAGTACATTATACAGCACAATGCAGAATATCACCAGCTATAGAGGAATACAACAAATCCCAGCAATAGTACATTATAGCTGGCGGTATTCTGCATTGCGCTGTATAATGTACTGTTGCTGGGTTTTGTAGTCCTGTATACAGCGCAGTGCAGAATATCACCAGCTATATAGGAATACAACAATTACCAGCAATACATTATATAATGTATTGCTGGGATTTTTTTATTCCTCTATAGCTGATGGTACGTTGCCCTGTATAATATACAGCACAATGTACCATCAGCTATAGAGGAATACAAATCCCAGCAATACATTATAGAGCACCATGTGTGGAAAAGTGCAGGCTTAGCTGAGCAGTCTTCCAGCAACTTGCTTCTGAGATTGGACCTGTCTATTGTTGGCTGTCATCCCCCCACACCTGCTCCTCACTACATCTCCCCGCGTCCCTGTGCCGATCGTGGATGTGGGCGGGCAGTGAGTGTAAGGCGGGGAGGAGGTGCGGTGTGAAGAGCGTGGATGCGGGCGGGTCTGGCAGTGACGAGCGTGAGGTGATGAGGAGGTGCAGAGCACAGCGTGTGTGGAGCCGTGAACAGGGCCAACTGATCGGAAGCCGATTAATCGATTATTGAAAAAGTTGACAACTTTTTCAATAATCGATTATAATCGATTATGTCGATTAGTTGTTGCAGCCCTAGTCCTGTTTGTTCAGTTTTTTCATAAAAGTAAGACGCCAATGTCACAAAAGGGACATCCGTTTCGGAGGAGGAAATCTGTTCGCGCATCACCTGCAAGATGGAACAGATGCTGCTTTTGTGAAAGGTGCCCTGCACATGGGCTTTCAGTTTCAATCCGTTTTTCAGAGGGATCCAGACTGATTCGCAATGCCTGTTTATGTCCAAGCTGATGTTACCTTTCGTAAATGGACATGGCTTACATCCATTCGTCATCCAGATTTGGGTAACTTTTGCCCCCTTTCATTTAGGACACAGGTTACTTGTACTGTGCATATTTGCACATTTAGGGCAAAAACCGAACATTTACCAGGTGATTTACTTCCACTTCAAGCAGCCTGAAGGCTTTTGAAATCCCTTTCCTTTAGCATTTGTCATATTTTATTTATATATTTAAATGCTGATCTGCGCTGGCAGGGAGAGGTTAGTTTCAGCTAGAGAAATTTGTTAGCACTGCTCTGAACTCTGGATGGATCATGTGTTCTTCATAATATTAAGAAACTGACCTAAAATCATTATTTTGTATTGCTTTGGAAAAAATGTGATCTGCCCCTTTAAGAAAAAGTATCGGTAATTGGTATCGGCGAGTACTTAAAAAAAGTATCGGTGCGAGTACTCAGACCCAAAAAAGTGGTATCGGTGCATCCCTAATCATGATGTCATTATGCAGACAAAGGAGATCTATAATGCTGGTAACTAGACACCAAATACAAAAATCTAAGCTGACATTTGTCAAGTTTAAGTCTTACAAACCAAGGTGGACATATTTAATGTGTGTGTATATATAATTTTTTTTATTATATGTATGTAGGTCCACCTTGGTTTGTAAGACTTGAACTTAACAAATGTGTTGTTAGATTTCTGTATTTGGTGTCTAGTTACCAGCATTATAGATCTCCTTTTGTCTGCATAATGACATCATGATCCACCCAGAGTTAAGAGCAGTGCTAACAAATTTGTCTAGCTGAAACTAACCTCTCCCTGCCAGCGCAGATCAGCATAGCCGACACGCATGCTTTCAGAAGCCAAGCCATATGTCATAAGTTTATTTTATCTTGTATGACCTGTTCTGAGTTCTCCCAGCAGGTGTATATAGATCAGTACTATCCTAAGCTCAGTGGTTGTGCTTGTTGCTGGAACCTGATCTGCAGC